TCTAAAAATATAATTAGAACTGAATGGTTTAAACTTGTAAGTAATCTCAACCCAGTAGTGAAAAACAAAATGTAGATATCAAGGCTGTTAAATCATTAAAATATAATAATAATATTGTTATTTGTAAAGCTGATAAAGGAGAGCAAATTGAAGTACTTAATAAATGTGACTACCTTAAAGGAATAGAAGATATGTTAGAGACAAGTACATATAAAAAAGTTAAGAATAACCCTACTAATAAGTATCATGAACAAGTAAAAACAAGTGTTAAAAACTGTTTAACTTTAACATACGTAGAGAAGAAACGATTAATTCTAGCTAGTTTTATTACTCCGAGATTTTATGTACTTCCAAAAGTACATAAAATTAATAACAGTTTTAGACCAATAGTATCAAGTATAGGTACTTCATTGTATCAAATAGCTAAGCATATAGCCCAGAAGTATTCGTTTTTGAGAAATAAAAATAAATATACAGTTAAAAATGATTTAGAATTTGTAGAGAAAATAAAAAATGTAAACTTAAATAAGGAAGATTTGTTGGTATCATTTGATGTAGTACCCCTATTTACAAAAGTACCAGTAGAGGATGCAATTAAATGTTTGAGAAAATTGTTATAAAAAAAAATTTCAGCAGTTGAAACTATAGATATAGTTAATTTAACTAAGATATGTGTTACGAACCCATTTTTTTCTACTTAACAATAATTTCTATAAACAAAATGAAGGGTTAGCTATGGGATCACCACTCTCACCATTATTATGTGATTTATATATGGATGTATTTGAAAATAAAGCCATAAATAATGCAAAATGTAAACCTGATATTTGGGTAAGGTATGTAGATGACACATTCTTGGTGTGGAAATATGGTAATAAAGCATTAACAGCTTACTATTTGAACAGCATTGAACCATTCATACAATTTACGTTTGAAATTGAGAAAAATAATAGTTTGCCTTTTCTAGATGTATTGATGAAAAGGCATGTACAAGGTAATTTAGAAACATCAGTTTACCGGAAACCTTTTTCTGTTCTTATGCCCCCACACCAAGAATTATGTCATACTAAGTCACAAAAAATGTCTGCGTTTTATAGTTATGTTAACAGAGCTTTGAAGATATGTACTAACCAAAATGATTTAAAAAACGAATCGTTATCAATTAAATATATAGCAGTCGAAAGAGGTTTTAACCCAGATCTTATAGATAGAGCAATTAAGAAATTCACTAATACTATAATAATTGATCAAGTTAGTACTTTAAAAACTAGTTATGAAAAAAATAGAAAGGGAGGCTTAATCTTACCATATGTTCCAGGTTTAACTACTAGTTTATTTAAAATTTTCAAAAATTAACAGATATTCTACCCTATATTTAAACCGATAAATAAGATGAATCAAATCTTAGGTACTACGAATACGAAATACATTTAACTGATATAACTGGAATATATAAAATAGAATGTGAATGTGAAAGTATTTACATTGGTCAGACAAAACGTAATTTAAAATACCGCTTAAATGAGCATAAGGGATATAGTAAAAAATAAAAAAACTGAAAATTCATCCATAGCAGAACATGTACAGGAAACACAACACACAATACTATGGGGAAAAACTGTAATATTAGCTCAACCTAAAAATGTAATAGGTAATAATATCCATGAGTCGTTAGAAATAATAAAACACAAAAAAGATCATGTAGTATTAAGTAGAGATGAAGGTATGGCGAATATTTCTGCAAGAATGTGGATTAATCTCCTTTGAATGGTTTAGTGTGAATGTATGAAAAATAACATACAGGTTAATGACCTACTAACAATCTATAAATACTTTGGCAATTATCTTGTAATTCACTCCTGAGGATGACGTTGTAACGTCGAAACATGTAGAGTCGTCAACTTTTTGAAGGCCATAGATAGGCCGAAATAAAATGTTTTTAATTGTGTACCAGTTTAACGTTGAATATTATTTACGATTTTAGGGTATATACTGGTCCCAAAAACGTTCCAGAAAAGTAATCTTACTGAAATAATCAAAAGTGAAAAAAGACAATCCTATAAAGTTACTTAAAAAAAGACCTTAAAAAACCTTATATAATTAAAATGTTATAATATATAGAAAAGGTGATAAAAGTTTCCGAACTTCATGAGATCTAGGAGAGTGCAACATAACATAGAAGTAAGTAGACGATATCTTGGTTCGTGACCATTAAGAGGTTGTAGATATCATGTGCAATTACTTAAACATCGTCTACTAGAAACTTCTAATTAAAAGTAAAGATCAAAACAATGATTGAAAATGTTTGACTAGAATCAAAAAAAGAGAAAAGAAACGAATAAGAAAGCAAGTACTTCTCAAGAAATAAAAATATCGATAACCAATTCATAACTGTGAAGCCATCATAACAGTATCTCCTGTCAAGTCATTATAGCGGTCTCTCCTGTTAAGTCATTATAACAGTCTCTTCTGTTATTTATCATAACAATCTCTCCTGTTAACTAATTATAACAGTCTCTCCTGTCAAGTCATTATAACAGTCTCTCCTGTTAAGTCATCATAGTAGTCTCTCCTGTTAAGTCATTATAGCAGCCTCTCCTGTTAAGTCATCATAGCAGTCTCTCCTGTTAAGTCATTATAGCGGTCTCTCCTGCTAAGTCATTATTACAGTCTCTTCTGTTATTTATCATAGCAATCTCTCCTGTTAACTAATTATAATAGTCTCTCCTGTTAACTAATTATAACAGTCTCTCCTGTCAAGTCATTATAACAGTCTCTCCTGTTAAGTCATCATAGCAGTCTCTCCTGTTAAGTCATTATAGCAGCCTCTCCTGTTAAGTCATTATAGCAGTCTCTAATGTTAAGTCATTATAACAGTCTCTTCTGTTATTTATCATAGCAATCTCTCCTGTTAACTAATTATAACAGTTTCTCCTGTTAACTAATTATAACAGTTTCTCCTGTTAACTAATTATAACAGTCTCTCCTGTCAAGTCATTATAACAGTCTCTTTTGTTAATCTTCAAGGCAGTGTTTCCTGCTTACTCATCATAGTAGACTCTCCTGATAAGTCTTCAAGGCAGTGTCTCCTGTTAGGTCATTATAGCAGTGACTCATATCAAGTCGTCATAGCAATCTCTACTGTTAAATCATTATAGCAGTGACTCATGTTAAGTCGTCTCTCCTGTTAAATCATTATAACAGTCTCTCCTGTTAAGTCATCATAGTATTCACTCCTTTTAAGTATTATAACAGTCTCTCCTGTTAAGTCATCATAGTATTCACTCCTTTTAAGTATTATAACAGTCTCTCCTGTTAAGTTATCATAGAAGTCACTCCTTTTAAGCCATCACTGTAGTCACTCCTTTTAAGTCATCATGGCTCTCCTGTTAAGTCATTATAACATTCTCTCCTGTTAAGTCACTTTAGCAGTATCTCCTGTTGAATCATCATGGTAGTTTCCTCTGTTTGTTCATTATAGCGGTCTGTCTTGTTAAGTTATTCTATCATCTTCTCACGTGAAGCCATTATTCCAGTTCCTTGTGAGAGCTGTGTAGTAATCGCACAAGTGAAACACCGCAACAATCCCTCCTGCCATCATTGCAGTATCTTGTGTGAAACTCTCTCGGGTAAATACATCACATTTTCTCATGTGAAGCCATTATAGCAGTAACTCCTATAAAGACATCATTTCTTATATGAAGACTTCATAGCAGTCTCTCATGTGAAACAATTACAGTAGTTCTTCCTGTGAAGCTATCAATGCAGTCTCTCGTGTGAAACCAGTATAGTAGTAATCCTTCACGTAAAGACGCCATAGAAGTCTCATATGTAAAGACATCATAGCAGTCATACACGTGAGTTCATTACAAAAGTGATCACAAGAAGAAGCTACTAGCACCATGATATTAGACCACTGTGTGGTGTTGAGCATCCATTTTCACCCTTAATGTTATTTTTTCTTTTTCTTTTGTTTAATAGTAGAAAGTGAGAAATCTCTGAAGCTAACTGTAAAGCTAAACAGCCTTAATCCAGACACTTTTTTAACCTTACAGCACATTCAATGAATGGTAAAATCTCATCTTCTCTACCTCCAGTTGCTGAATCTTTAGTTTTTAAATCTTTCATGATAGCTGTTCTGTTGCCTATTGTGACGTGGTATGCGTACTCTTTTAATAAAAGCACTAGAATGTTTCTAAAGTTTAAATATGAATCCAAGAAAAAAAATTAAATTTTTATCTTCTGATTTGACGTTTACTAAGATTTCGTTTGACGCTTTTCTTTAGCCCAATTGATGTAATAAGAAAAAGTTAAACTTTCTTTAATTTTTTAATCTATATTATTAAGTTAATTGTTCTTACTGAAAAACTATTGTTCAACAGCTACTTGTTTATCTGATTAGTATTTCCAGTATTTTATATTGTGAAAATATAAAAAAGACATTTATTTTGAATTTTGACAACGTATTTCAGTAGTACGTCGATTAAAAAGATGTTGAAAACACTTTTCTAAATTTTTATGCAGAGCTATTATTGATGTACAGAGAAAAGTCACAGAGAAAAGAGACTGAAACTAACAATAGTTCTTATATATATATTTTTTTTTCTCTACTTTAGTGGTTTACTTACTTTCTATGTGACTCTGCAACTAGTAGAGAAAAAACACGAACGTCTGAATATTATAATATATGTGGCCCATCGATACTGGAGGTAAGTTGATAAAGATAGTAATTTATTAGTCTGTCCTCAACATTAAAATCTAACTCTTTATGTTCCTCCGAAAGTGAAACCCTTAATGTTCCTCTGCTCCTAATATAAAAGAAAGACGGGCATGCATAAAATATGAATTTAACATCATATTCTAGAATGCTCTTTGATATGCAATTACAATAACCAATTATAAATACAACGAACAATATAATTATTGGTCTTTTGAATATATTTTAATAATTTTAAAAATTTCATACTTTAACATCTCTTGGCATTTCGGCTACTTTTCAGACTAGCGCCCCCTCTTGCTTTCGTCATCTGTCTCACAATGTTAATCCCCTTACTGGGTTCTGGCCCTCTGTGGCACGAAAGTATCGATCACGTTGTGGAAGGTTGTCGGAAGAAATGGTGGACCAACCTGCTCTTCATTAATAACTTTTTAACCACAAAGGATGTGGTAAGTGAACAAAAATAATACACGGTAAACAAGTTTGAATCAGGATGACTCGAGGCCAATTGACGCAGTTAGAGACCATGTGACTTGGTTAAAGTAGGTCGAAAACCTATTCCATTTTTGAACAAGTCACAAGTAATATCATTTGACTTTTGATGATGTCACAAAACTGGTTAAGACATTCAGTGTTAAAACAAAATTTTTGAAACATATATTTTATTATCACTCAATTTTAATACCAGAAGTATATTACATTATTATCAGAATCTAAAAAATAGAGATAGTGGGAAAAAAATGGTTTGGAAGATGATCAGAATTTTCAATTCTATCTTTGCAATAACTTTTAAAGAGCATGGCTTGATGTAGGAATATTTCAGAAGAATATGAGAATTTGTATTTTACAATTTTAGTAGAAGTTAATGTGAGAAGCTTACAAAATCAATACTAGGAGAATGTTCACAATTTTCTGTCTCACATTTTTCAACAGAGGTTTGAAAATTCATTTCGGTAGTGAAATAGACATAACGTAGCCCATCTGATAATTGTGAAGATGTACTTTAAATGTTACTTGCACATCTGGTGTTAAATTTATTAGCATTCATGAACTGTGCAATATCCAATCGATAAACTATGAAACGTATATGGAAATAAAACACCGTCAATTTTGGGTTTATGTTAGTTTATTTTTAGTTTTAGTACGGTGGAATGTACTAAGCACCCTCACCAAATCATAACATATATGTCATTTCTAAAATTTGATGGTTTGAAGCACCTGCTTTTATAACTTGTATAAAAGTACACAAAAGGATTACTGCCTATTGAAACTGAAAGGTACTATTGATCTTATAAGATATATATATATTTATATATACCGTATTTTTTGGAGTATAAGATGCACCCTTATTTTGAAGATAAAGTTTTGGGGAAAAAAAGCTACAGTCGCATATGCAAGATTTTTATTGAACAA